ACACAATTTCATAACAAAAACTTTGAGATGAAGAATTGGGTACTACCCGTATGGGTTACTATCCGAGGACATATCTCACCCCTAAAAACAATTCAACAAATCAAATGTGACTTCTTGCCTCGCATGGCGAAAACCAACCTTTCAAAAAGGATATGTTACGTCCGTTCTACCGCAAACAGGTAACGCATAAGTCTCCTCACATGCGAGCAGCAATACACCTAAACTGCTAGAATGCACACGATAGCATCGTCTACCAGTACACCCCGCTCACCCACAAACCGTAGGCCGAACTACGACTGCTCTGATTCTTTACTTCTTCAAGTAAAGATACGTAGGCACAAGAGCCACAATCCTTGCCGAGCACATTCCCCCCATATCTGTAGTTCCCCGAACTACGTCGACTCTAATTTTCTCACATCTATTGAGAATACGTAGGCCTAGGACCGCGAAGTCCTACCGAGTCTGTTCTTTCTCTTTTCTTCCCCGTTATCCCTTCTTTCATTGTTTCTAAACCCTTTTTCTTTACCCTTTGGAAAACATTTTTATAGCATAATATTTAAGCAGATATCTTCACACATCGACAAACAAATGGTTCCCATCGAGTACGATGGATGCGAGGGGTGCTAATACCTTCCCCTCGCATCACCGACTTCCGAACCCGTTCTTGGTTGCGAGACCATCTTTCCATTCTTTTCTTAAGGTTTTCTCGATATTTTCCTTTCCTCTCATGGGATAAATAAAGTTCGGTGGCGACTCTTCTGTCTTTTCTTTTCGCCTCCCCGTCGTTGCATTTTTCGAGTAGCGACACCAGGGCCTCTGAGCTGTTTGCAAGTTCCAGTACATTCATGTAGAATTCATGAATGGTCTCATCCTCTTTCATTTTCAGATCTTCAAATTTTGTGGTTAAGATTTGAAGTCTAGACATCTTTACTTTGGAGGTTCCTTCATGAGTGGTTCTGAGAGTGTCCTAAACATCTTTAGCTAGTTCACAGTGGTGTACCAACCTGAACATGTTTTTATCTATGCCATTGAATAGTGCATTCAGAGCTTTAGAATTTCCAAGGGCTAGTGCTTCTTGTTCTTTGGTCCATTCATCTTCAGGGATTTGCTCAGATGTTCCATCCTTGTTAGTCTTTACAGGATGTGTCCAGCCAGAGTTTGCAGCTCTCCAAGCTTTGTTGTCTAATGACCTTAGGAATGCAATCATTCTAGGTTTCCAATAGTCATAGTTATATCCATCCAGAATTGGAGGTCTATTTGTGAATCCTATGTCTTTGTCCATATCACCAGAATTTTTTTCCCTAGATGTCACCCAGTTAAAAACAGGCAGGGTGCCTGCTCTGATGCCAATTGAAAATTTTGGCTTACCACACGATGGATGTTACAGATAAGGTTATAACATCCACTGTGACATTGACTACAGCAATGTATATTTGACAGTTATTAAAGCAGTAAATAACACACATAAATTGATTACCCAGTTCAGTGTCAACAACACTTACATCTGGGGGCTACCAAGCCAGGGAGGAAATTCACTATCAGCAGTATCAATTCAGAGTTAAACCTCCAGTTTACACTCCTCACTTAATCACTACTCAATGACACTTCAGCCTAGAGACTCTCTAGTACCAGAGCATACCCACCCACTCCCCCACAATCACACAACAGTGATATCAAACAGTTTACACAATTTGGTATGAAGAGACACCTCATACACTTTTTGATCTTGCTTCAAAGCTTCAATCAAGAACCTCACACACTCTTGCTTCACAGCTTTGAGTGAGACACAACCTAGAATCTACCTAACCAAAGCAATCATCAAACATACAATTACTTGGATTACAAGCATTCCTAGACTGACTTTTACACAAGCGAAGACTAACCTATTTCACTTGCTTGGACTCTCTGCTTTTAGCACTCTCTATACTTCTGTCAAGAGTTACTTTTCTGAGTTGATTCTTCTGATATTTATAGCAGCTGCAGTCCTTTGGGCCTTGGTGCATAAATTAGGTTTTATCCACAATAAAACCACCCTTCAGAATTCTGCACGTTTGCCACTTTGAACAAGTCCATATTTGATCCCCTAGGGCGTCTAAAATATCTCCTGTATTCCAGCTTGAGTTTCTGGTTTGTTTCCTGAATTGTAGCTAGCAAAATAACAAACCTGTGCACTGATGTCACACGACCTATGTTATGACATCGAGTGTGACATCCAGCGTAACTTATAGTTAGTTGATAAAAACTTGTCCTGCATAGTCCACTTAATGAATGTAGAAACATCTAATATGACATTCATACATGTACTAAAGTTATGCCACAAAATGCAGCCAATTAAGAGCACTTACAAAGGTGAAATTGATGGGTCTGCTCGCGAATTGAGAAGAACAGGTTTTCTGGTGAAGTGTAGTAGGTGTAAGAAAGCAGGACATTACAAATCTACTTGTAAGGACACAACTCAACAACCTAGCCAACAATCAGCCCAACTCAATCATACTCCAACTCAGACTGCTCAACAAACTAGCCAACAATCAGCCCAACACAATCATACTCCAACTCATACTGCTCAACAAACTAGTCAACACACTACTACTTCAACAACTTAGCCTACTCAATAACCTAGCCAAGCATCTCAGACTTCTAATGGAAAGACTGCTAAGAGCAAGACACAAAAGATGCCTGTAAGGAAGCCAACAAGACCTTTTGTGCCACATGGGCCTACAACTAGGTTGAGTGCTGCGAAGAATGTTGTTGGCCTAGTAACAAGGAGGTCTACTCCAACAAAGAGGACCACGCCAAAGAAGAAACTCTAAGTTGTGGAACATGTGTATTTAGTTACCTAGAACAAGTTTATGTATTCTACTGCTGTCATTTTGGAACAAGTTTATTTATTCTACTGTTGTTGTCATGAACAAGTTTATGTGTTCTACTGCTGTTGTTTTGGAACAAGTATATTTTGTGTATTCTACTGCTGTCATGAACAAGTTTAAGTAATCTACTGCTGTTGCTTTGGAACAAGTATATTTTATGTATTCTGCTGTTGTTTTGGAACAAGTATATTTTGTGGAAAGTATTACAGGTTTATGTATGCTGCTGTTGTTGTTTATAGGTATTATGAAATGAACTTAAAAGCAGAACCAACTTATATGTATCCTGCTGCTGTTGTTGTAAACATAAAAAATATAACATACCAAATATATCATTGACAGACCAAAACTGTTATATACCAAACATAAAAAACACTTTGACATGATAGAATCCAAAACTGTTATATTCATGTGGATTATGCTTTGACAGACCAAACTAAAACACTTTAACTGTTGCATACCAAGTTAACATTATCTTTAACTCTTATATTCATTCACGTTGAACCGCAAAAACTGAAATTAACTAAACTGATACAATCCATATATTAAAATCCAACTATTACATCCATGTTAAAGTGATACAATCCAAAACTGATACAAACTTTAACTAAACATAAAAACATAATTCTTACAACCAAAACTTAACTTAATTCTTACAAACAAACCATAACATAATACTTCCAAACAAACCTTAATAACCTAACTACCCCTAACAACTAATACAATGATAATCATCACAAACATCAAATTCAAAATCTTTTTCCACTTCATGATATTCTTCATTTCAATTGCAAGTTTCATCAGCTTTTTCCCTAATTCTTCATTCTCCATTGTTGCTTTTTCAATGTCCTTTTTTGCTTCAGCCAGTCCCTTAGTTACCGCACCCAACCTATGCATCCAAAATTGCTCATTCTCATCACCCATCTCCTCATAAAACAAATCAAAGAAGCCACAACCAGCTTGCATACCTCCCTGTAAGTTTCATTGTTTAGAGGAGGATGGATAATGAATTTAAAATTAAACAAAAATATAACTTATAATTTGGACAGAAACAGAAACATAACTTAATCAAAAACAGAACTTCAACAGAGAACAAAACCAGCTTGCATACCTTATAATTTGGACAACCCCAAAAAAGTTTTCCCATATTCTTCAAAGTAGTTGCCCTTTGAAGAACATCCATGTCTCCACAATGGCATATGGGCTTCCATCGTGACCGACTACAAACATCCGAATCCTGACTTTTTGATTTCGAAATGGAGGAGGAACATCCGGATTTCATGCTTGCCAAATAAAAGAAACCCTAAATTAAGTTAGGGATTTGGGGTTTAGGATTTAGATGAGGAGGAGCAACATCATGAACAAAATTAGGGATTTCATGCTTGCCAAGTCATCTGCCAAATAAGCAAAATAAACGGACGTTTGGGAGCAATTGACGGATCCGACTAAAATGACACAATTTAAAAGTTAAAGGACCAACTTACCACTTTTTAAAGATAAATGACCAACATGAACCCCGAGCTAAAGTTAAGGGACGAAAAATGGTATTTTGCCTAAAATATTTCATCCCACGAGTAAGTACCAATGTAATATATATATTTTATTTTAAATAATTTTCTTTATTTGAGAGACAAAATTTTTATTTTTTAATATAATTTTTTTTTCTTTCTCCTTTTCATGGGTCATTTTTTTTAATTATTATTTAATATAATTAATTTTATATAATTTTTGTTTATTTTACAATTAAATAACTTATTTAAATATATAAATATATTTAAATATATTTCATATCATATTAAATAAATTCATCCGTACGGATGCATGAATATTTTATTTTTAATCTAATAAAAACATATATTAAATTTTTTTTTTTTGCCACTACCAAATTTTTCATGTCAAATATATATATATATATTTATAATGATGGAATAATAAAAGAGTATAATTGGTATGCTCGGACACTATTATTCAATAGAAATTGATCTCATATTATACAATTAAGGTAAAATTTAAAGTTTATAGTTTTAGTATACAGAGGTATTTAAGTAGGGATGTCCGACTAAATTGGGGTGGCCGTAGATTCCACGAAAACTTTTGAGGGGTTGTCTTTACCGAGAGAGTTAGCGGAAGTGACCAATGGCGCAATTCTGGAAGCCAGGGACTGAAAAGCCTGATGCTCAGGTGGTAGACGACGAAGAAGGCGGCGTTCTATTCTTACCAGGGTCCAACTCTCTCTCTTCTTCGGGCTATGGCTACGCTAGTATCGAGAAACAACGCCAACGGTTACCTGTCTACAAGTACCGTACCGCCATTCTCTACTTGGTGGAGACTCACGCCACCACTATCATCGTCGGCGAAACTGGTAGTGGCAAAACCACTCAAATCCCTCAGGTATTCTTCTATTCAATTTCCACCCTTCCAAATTCAAATTCAAATTCAATTTGAGAATTACTCTTGAACGAACTGCAGTACCTGATAGAGGCGGGTTGGGCTGCCGGTGGACGACTCATTGCTTGTACTCAACCTAGAAGACTCGCTGTTCAGGTTCACTTCACTATCCTTTCTTCATTTCATTCGTTTGTTTGTGCTGTTGCGATTCTCTATAATAGTGTTCACATTTCACAGGCTGTTTCTTCTAGAGTTGCTCAAGAGATGGGAGTCAAACTTGGAGATCAAGTTGGATACACCATAAGGTTTGAAGATGTTACTAAACAAGTGAGCTTTTCCATCCCTTCTATTACTCACTCAGTGTGTGAAAATTGATTTTGTATGAATTGATTATGCAAAATCAAGTTTGGTGTGAGTTGAATTTAAGTGATTAATGTTTGAATACATGTGGATTATGTGGTAAGTAGATTAGATTAGATGGAGTAAAAGTAGATTTAGGTGGTTTCGCCTTGTAGAGAGAAGACATGTAGATTTTGTGATAAGGAGAGTAGATTAGATAGACTGAAGTCAAACAAATAGAGAAAGAGGAAGAAGACCTAAAAAGACTATAAGAGAAGTTATTATTTAAGATAAATCTCAAGATAACGATTTGGATAGAAGCATGATCCTGGACATAACATAATGGCTAAAGTTGATCCATGTAGCCGACTCCATTTAATGAAATAAGACTTGGTTGTTGTTGTTGTAATGTTTGAATACATTCATGTAAACGGAGTTGAACTATAAATTTAAGGTTAAAAATCACTTGTAGAGGCAAAAGCTTGAAATTCTAGCTTTATATGAGAATCAATTTGGAATCAAAATCAATCAATTCTACTCGAGAACATCCAAACATGTCAAAATCAATTCTAGGTCGCCACAATCAATTTTTCCTTTTATGGAAGTGGAACAAAACATACACTTTTGTATGGTGATGATGATAGTGAATGATGATATATCTTTGACATACACATTAACGACTTTTTTGGGTTTTTTGACAGTGCAGGATGAAACGGTTTTAAAATTTGTAACCGATGGGGTGCTCCTAAGGGAGATGATGAATGATCCTCTTTTGACAAAATATAGGTACTGGATTCAAAAGTTACACTTTTTTTTTCTTTCTGGTTTTTTAGTATGAAAATGATCCTGTTCCATTTCTCTTCTGAACTTGAATCTGAATGCACTTAAACACTTGTTTTGTACAGTGTTATCATGGTGGATGAAGCTCATGAGAGGTCCATTTCAACTGACATCTTGCTCGGACTATTGAAAAAGGTATAAAGTACAGAAACAATCTGCAAGATATATTTATGGTGACAAAATGTTGTCTTTTTTATTTTGGGGAATTAACTGTTGGCGTCTTATTTATTTTCTCCACAATTCATGAATCTTTTAAACCATATATTTTCTGTTTGTTACTTGTCTAGATCCAACGGCGTCGACCAGAGTTGCGATTAATTATTGCATCTGCTACTATTGAAGCCAAATCAATGGCTGACTTCTTCCGCCCAAGGTTTTCTTCCTATCTTGCTTTAATTATGTTGTTCAGATTTTCATTTTCATGTTAACACTCTTATATTAGTGATATCTGTAAACTTTATATTCATAAAAAATGTCACTAGATTTTATGTGGAAAATAAGCTAAGCTGCAAATATCTGATCGCCTGGTTCATATTTAGGCAGTTAAAATATGTAAGCAACAAAAAGTCAAAAAGCATGCTTTTTCTTCCGGGGCATTACTGTGTTAATGGATTGTTATGCTAAAATGTTCTCGTAGAAATGATCTTGTGGTGTTGGGTTGTTGTATCACTGAAATTTTCAAAGCAACATTTTCAATCTTGTAACTCTCTGCTACACCCACAAAATCACAAGAGAATATATGTTATATATACATATACATATATAGGGAACGATTCTAGTGAAAACACTTTGTTATTATGAGAAACGAGAACAACGATAATAAACAATGGATCAACATTAATGAAATCGGTATACATATATAGGGAACGATCCTAGTGAAAACACTTTGTTATTATGAGAAACGAGAACAACGAATAATAAACAATGGATCAACATTAATGAAATTGGTGGTCCGCATAATTTAATCTTTGTTATTATAATTTGTCTCTTGGGGCACATCACAACCCTATCTCGCATATCAGTTTCTCTCAGTTGCAACATAACCTTTATTCATAGGCCACATACGTTTAGTTAGATATTGAGCTCTCTTTACGGAAGAATTTGAAATTAGTTGTCACTATTAGAGTTTGGCCTAACTCATCCTTACAAAACCGGCTTGTAAGGTGAGGGGTGTTACTCTAATTATAAACTCTTTCAATGCTCTATCTCCAACCAATGTCGAACTTAGAATCTTCCTAATAGTCACCTCCATTGATTTTATTAGGGCCAAATAGTCCCATCAATGATGATAAATTTGTAAAACTTGGTCAGACACTTGAATTAAAGAGGTAGTGCACCTCTTCCGGTTTGCTTATCACTTTTCTCATTTGGTCAGTGCACCTCTTCCGGATTCACTTCCAATCCAAGCTATTTTTGTTTAAAACCTTTAGGATTATGCACTATACCTGCTATTATATGGAATGTAGTACGGCAGTATTACTGAACTATATGAAGTTAAAAGTTTTGTTCCTATTTTTTTTGTCATGAGTACTCAGGTTTTAATTATTACATTAAAATATGGGCGTTGTTTAACAGAAAAAAGCGCCGAGAACCTGAAAATCAGGAGAATGGGCTAAAAGTTGAACCTGCAATCTTATCAGTCGAGGTACTTTTTAGATGTGCAACTCATGCTTGCATGTCCCCTGTTTCTCTAAGTGCATTTGTTTGAAGCTAAACACGACTAAATTGAAGGTTATGTCAATCTAAATTTTCTTTCTGATATGGTTAATATATCAGTTTCTCTCTAGTTCTTAGCCCATGGTTATTACAAAGTTGTATTTGATTTGCAAATGGAAGCTGCCACTATATTTCTTTTCTTCTATTTAATATTAATAATATTACCTTTCAAAAAGATAATGTCATTTTATAGAACCCAAATGACATTATTATTTCGATATTTAGTTGAGAAATTACTACGCCTTTGTGCTTTATAGGTTAAAGTATTCAACTTAGAAATAAAGTATGTTTTATATTTTTCAGGGAAGAGGCTTCAATGTACAAATTAATTTTGCTGAGGAACCCTTCCATGACTACATTCAAGCTGCTGTTTCAACCGTACTCTCGATCCATGAGCGGGTATTTTAAATTCATTGAGATCGGATAGTTTTAACCAATTTGTTCTATTTTTGAGGCATTTTATTCTGTGTAATTACGTATGTCTGTCAATGATGTTTAAACCTGTCTTAGTCATGGACGCCAAAATATTAGTGTTCATTTGATTCTGATAATAAATTCTGGACTCTTCATTGGCAAAGCTAACACACACTAATTTAAGCATTTCTACTGTTGATATAAGCAGAAAGTCAGATATATATTAGTCAAACAAAATTAGAATGGAATGTAATTGTGGTTCTGATCTATACTATACTATCTCTCCATAGGAATCCACCGGAGATGTTCTAGTATTCCTTACCGGTCAAGATGATATTGATGCTGCTGCTCATTTACTCAACGAAGACATTCAAACTAATCGAAAGCACTCAGGTATACACCCAAAATAGTTCTTATCTGATTAAGTTTTGATTCCACAATTACTTACAAGTAAAAATATTCTTAAAAAAAAAACACTTACAACTAAAGTAAACGAGCAACATAAGTATATAAATTAAATTTTTCTAAATCAAGCACAATGAAAACGATTTTCATATGTGCACATAATTATGCTTACAACCAGATAGCCCGGCAATACTTTGAATTTTCTTTTGTTCCAGGATTGGTTGTTTTGCCTCTCTATTCAGGACTGCCACGTGCTGATCAGGTCAGAAATACATCTGTGGATTTAGTTTCAAAATTTGTCAGTGTTATTTAAATAAAATTTCTGAATGTATCGATACATTTTTTACTTTCTCTTAGGAGTTAGTGTTTTCTCCAACCCCTAGAGGAAAGAGGAAAGTAGTAATTTCTACTAATATAGCAGAGACATCGCTCACATTGGAGGTAACATCCATCACTTCTTCAACATGTCTGACCTTAATTAAAGAAAACAAAGTGCTACTTATATATTCATATTTTTCTAATTGTGCAGGGCATTGTCTATGTTGTTGACAGTGGGTTCTCAAAACAGCGGTTTTACAATCCGGTATTTCCATTCTGTTGTTTCTATGAAAATACATATAGTAATGGGCCAGTAATGATTTGGTCCTGTTGTTGTTTATAAATGTCATTTTGTTCATTTTGAAGTTACAAAAGCACATGTCTACTGGATTAATACTCCGCCTTTGTATTTATGCTTGCATTCAATTTCATTTGGTCATATGCAAGTTTCATCTAGCACTTCTATGGCATATGGGTTGTGCTCACTCACTTTTCACTTCTGTGCTTGCACTTTCTTTGTAAATTTTCCATATGTCAATTTTTAAACAATCTAGTGTTGATTCATGAAGTTTTTTTAAAACCTTAAGCATTTCAGTGTATTTGGATGAAAGTTTCCTAATTATGGGTCACTTTTGAGTTCTAAATTAACATTTTCTTCCTTCTTTTGTGCAGGTTTCTGATATAGAAAATCTGGTTGTGGCACCAATATCTAGGGCGTCTGCTAGACAACGAGCTGGTAGGGCTGGACGAGTTCGACCAGGAAAGTGTTACAGGTGTCTGACTGAATGTAGTTAATTTCTTTCTGATGGTTTTGGAACATTTTCTTGATGATGATTTTTTTCTTCTGATTAACTAATGGAAGAACATGCCCCACTGTTAATCTATAAATATCTATGCATGCCCCACTGTTAATCTATAAATATCTATGCATTAACATACTATCTACCAAAGTTTTTTTGTGAAAGCATGAATATCTGGTTACACTTTCAACAAAAGGAAATGCTTTTCCTCTGTTGTTTATGTTTTATTTTTGGAAACTCAGTATCTGGCCCTAGGACTGACTAATCCAAGGGACCAATCCCACTGTCTACTAGCGGGAGGCCCAATTGAAGCCAGAGCTATGGGCTGACCTAACACATGAATTGTTGGCACCTGCGTGTGAGATTCAAATCTGAAACCTTGAGAGGAACACATAAGTTGTTTCACGCCAAATGTCTTTTATAAAAAAGCAATAACATGCTTTAAAGTATTTGACTTTTATAGTTTTCCTTATTTAAAATATTATGCAAGAACTAAATATACTGCTGAAGGCAGTTTCAATTAAGAAAGATGTTGACAGCGTGTAGATTTTTACTAGTTTTTGCTTATTTGGTTTAAGCAGAATACTCTCATTTTTTAAGAGCTACTCTTTTGCCTATATTTTCTTTGGGATTTATGCTTCTCATTGGTCTTCTGCTCATGGTTGATTCAATTTCAATGTGCTTTTCGTTTCTGATATATAAAATGATTGGACATCCTTATGCTTTTCTTATTCTTCTTTTGTCCATTTTATTTTTATCTTTTGGAGAATATTTTATCCAGTCCACTCTGAAGCCTTACCCTGTATATGGATGTTTATAAACTGTGACTCTTATAGGAACTAATATTGAAATTGCAATTGGTATTTTGTCATGATGTTAACTACAACAATTATCTTCTTACCTTTCATTGTTCACATGATTATAACCAGGCTATACACAGAAGACTATTTTCTTAGCCACATGTCTGTTGAGGGAATTCCAGAGATACAGAGATCTAATCTTGTCTCCTGTGTAATCCAGGTCTGTTATTATTATGGAATAATTTCAATTCATCTATTTTTTTAAGAGCAGTTTTTTTTCCCTTTATGTTGGCACTGCCCGCACTGCCATTACTGTTTGTTTATTTTTCTCCAGTATTTTTATGGTCAATGCAAATGATGACTACTGATTAATTAGTTACATCAATGATAGAAGATTTATCATGATTTTATTCAAATTTCTAAAAGTGTAGTTATAAGTGCATCTGCTCCCTTATGATAATTTGTGACTAAAATTTGTCAAGATTAACCAGAGATAGAAAAAGATGAGGTTTGATTTGAAACTCCGCTGTTTTTGATAGTTCATTTCACTAGCTCTTTTCTTGCAACGGATTTGACTTTTTTTTACTGGTCTGGTTGAATTGAACTTGACATCTCACTAAGCCTTTAACTTAAACATTCTTTTTGAATTGTAAGATTATTATTATTACTTCTTTTTGTTGCTATGCATATGATCATTATTGAGGGTTTTCCACTTCTAAAATTGAAGGTTGAAATGATTGAACAGCTTTTTTGCATCCTTCAGCCTCTGTTTCCTGGTTGTGTATTACTTTTTTATTTTATTAAATTTCTCCTTATATCCTGAATGATAAAGGAAGGCAGTCCCGTGTTCAATGAGATATATGGCTGATATAATCCCCTTTTAGTGCTATTACAGAGTACTATTGCTGGAATTGGGTGCATTTTGGTGTGTATTATAGGTAGATTTTGTGATTGATCCTAAATATAATTACTTAATACATTTTTTTTGATGATTCCCAGTTAAAGGCTTTGGGAATCGATAATATATTGGGATTTGACTGGCCAGCATCTCCATCACCCGAAGCAATGATCCGAGCACTGGAAGTTCTCTACTCACTTGCGATCTTGGATGATGATGCCAAGCTTACTTCACCAACTGGATTTCAAATTGCAGAAATTCCACTTGTATGTTATGGATACCACTAAAATCATGTTTTCGTTCTTTTGTTGAATACTTCGTGTTGATTTGTAGAAAAGTAAAGAATTGTTTTGTTCATTGTGGGGACTGGGTTATTCTAAGTACACCAGACGATACATAACAGATAGCACAATAGAATAACAGAACAAAGAGTAAAGAACTGAGAATTTATGACTTCAGACTCATTTCTATGAGTTTATTTAGGAACTTTGCCTTTAAAAGATAAATCAAGAATCCAGTTATAGAGTCTTATGTGGTACTTTATCATGCATTTCTTACAACTTTACTAATTTCTGATTAATGTAATTTGATTTTTGCCAGGACCCTATGATCTCAAAAATGATAATAGCTTCTAGTCAACTCGGATGCTCAGAGGAGATACTCACAATTGCTGCGACACTTTCCGTCCAAGTAAAGTTTTTTTCTCTAGTCATGAATAATTTTGTTTTGAAAGAATTTTTCAGTTTTCATGCTGAGGATTGGAATGTAAAGTAAAATGAAATCTATCTGGACAGTATCAAAGAAACATAGCTGAATGTAAATGTAGTAATAGAACAGTTGATCTCAATTTCAATTTATCTATGCATACAGTCTATCTGGATCTCAGGGAGAGGAATACAAAAGGAATCGGATGAAGCAAAATTGAGATTTGCTGCTGCCGAGGTACTCTACTCTCCCACACAATGTTACTCACTTTTTCCGTTTATACATGTAGCTTTCTCTGCATTATTTCCTTGTCAAACTTTTAATGGTTCTTCAATCATCAGCTTTTCTACTGTGCAGTACAAGTGTTTTTCTATAGCAATATGCTATATGAACTGTTCTTTATTTATAATTTAGTTTGATCTTTTAATAAATTATACAGGGTGACCATGTAACATTTCTAAATGTCTACAAAGGTTTTCATCTGTCTCGGAAATCATCACAGTGGTGTCACAAGCATTTTGTGAACTACCATGCCATGGTGTGTATGTATTCAGCGATTAAGCACATTGTAGCAATTTCCATTTGTCCTTTTCAGTTCAGTTTTCACCAATTCATGTTGACATGGGTGTTTAAATTGCACAGAAAAAGGTTGTTGAAGTTAGAGAACAACTCAAACGAATTGCACAAAGGATAGGCTTAGTCTTAAAATCTTGCGACAGTGATATGCAGGTTGTTAAGAAAGCGGTTACTGCTGGCTTTTTTGCTAATGCATGTCGTCTTGAAGTGAGTACTTCCTGAGATATCAGGATGCCGCATTTTCTTTTCGATTCATAATTGTATATTACCTTTTTCACATTAATATTGTGCCAAACAAAATAATTTAACTTAACTTATATTTATCTATTTCTCTACTTTTTTAAAAGCCATACAGTCCTGACGGGATGTACAAGACGCTAAGAGGATCCGAAGAAGTATATATTCACCCATCATCAGTGCTATTCAGGTAGTAAGAAAAACCGAGTTTGTGAAAACTCTATTTACTGTGTGTTGGTTTATTCACCGTTAGTTTTGGATGACTGTCGATTAAAAACTATGTTCTTTTGCAGAGTAAATCCAAAGTGGGTTATATTCAATTCTCTAGTATCAACTGATCGGAAATATATGCGCAATGTGATGACGATAGATCCCTCATGGCTATTGGAAGCTGCTCCTCACTTCTACCAGTTGCAGAAACCTAATCTTCTTCACTAATTACCTTAGCCTGACTGATAAGTTGAGAGTCTAGTAAAGCAGATTAACCAGTGATGTGGGGATTAAGATAGAAACTTCTCAATTAATTAATCCGGTGTAAATTACAGAAACAGATTTGGTGCAGTTGATATAAGTCTACATAACATTCCCTGTTAAAAAGTCAATTTTCAAGGAATGGCTGTGCTTTGACGTACATAGGCACAATTTAAAAAAAAAGTCTTTTTTTGTTTATTTTTTAATTTATTGCTTGTTTAAATCCAAGTCGAATCTTTAATCATTGGGATTGATTACTCCATTTAATGCGTGATATTTTAGAAAGTCTTAGTTAAAATTGCCATTTAGATTAATTTTTGAGCCTTACGTTTGAATGATAAAAAATGGTTTTATATGGTTGATAATAAGTTAGTGAGCGTTTGTTTGTAATTTTTGCAGAGTTAGATCAACCACTATTGCTATGTAGACTTTTGATCGAATTTATTAAGTATTGAGCCTTGCATTTGAACGATAATAAAAATGGTTTATATGGTTGAGAATAAGTTAGAGAGCGTTGGTTTGTATAGAGAGTTAGATCATCCACTAATGCCATGCAGACTTTTGCAATGCTGATAAATTATATACAACTTGAATTAACTACCTTAAGAAAGATGATTGGATATGCTCTTTTTTAATGAACTTTTTTTCTCCTCTTCTCTTCTCTCTCCTTCATTGTTTTGCTTATTTTCATAAGACGTTATGAGCATAAAGGTCTAATTATTAAAAGTAATATTGGATCTTTTTGTTTTATTTTTTGATTTATTTTTTGTTTTACATGCTTATATTATATTATATTTTATTGAATAATTAAATATTCATAATGGATTACAAAATAATGGACATGTCTGATAATTCTTGAAGAACTTATCTAGCATCTTAAAAATAACAAAAAAAAAATAAAAAAAAAATTGTTATATAACTCTTAAACAATTTGTTACATAAGGATAGCAAAAAATAATAATCTTTATATAAGAACTTATCTAGTTGAAGGATAGTAAAATAACAGTTTGTTATGGTTCTAGAACTTATAAAGTATTCTAAAGAATAGTAAATTAACAATTTATTATATAACTTTTAAACAATTTATAAAACATTCTTAAAAGATAGCAAAGTAACACTTTGTTAGAACTTATAAAACATTCATAGAGGATAGTAAAATAACAATTAATTATAGGTTTAAATAGTATTTTCGTTTTCGTAAGTTAGTGTATTTTTGATTTTCGTTCTTGAATTTTTTTTATTTTGTTTTAAGTTTCCATAAGTTCAATTTCTGTTGGATTCATTTCCTGCTATCAATGGACTATTAAAAAAAAAGTTAAGTTGCTAGACGGTGATAACCTAGATTATGTTTTAACATTTGTTTTATTATTTTCTTTAACACACGTGGATATGTCCTTTTTATAGTTTATTAAAGAGGGACCAAATAAAAAAGTTACATTTTTCTTTTTTTCTCCTTCCCTCTGTCTTCGCCATTGCAAGTTGTTGTTCCTCTCTGCACCTTCAACGTCCATGGCTTCTTCTTTGTCTACTCTCATCACGTTCAAGCATCGGTTTATGGTGCAATAGAAGCATGCAAATGTTTATGTCAAACTCTGTTGAAAACCCTAAAAGAAGATTTTGAGAGTGTCAAAATTTAGGCTTAATGTTTGGTTGCAAGTTGTTCATTTGGGACGATGACCTTGAACGAAATGCAACTAGTGATTTTAGAAGTTCAAGTGGTTACAACTGCTTGGAAATGTTGAGGTCATAACAAGTCCAATGTCTACAATTTCCATGGTTGTGCAGGGTTACTTTCTTCTCCCTTGAGCTTTTTGCATTTGAGTACCCTTGCTCTATCACTTTTCCTCAACTCTAACTTCATTGCGACCTTTTATTTGGGTTGTTTTTCCTACAAAGACACAATATAAACAGATACAATTAGGCCAATATCTATAAAGTTGAGAACATGCACATTAACTCAATTATTCAGTAGCAGACTCAAATGGTTTAGGAGGCGTAGAAACAGGTTCCTTAGGTGTAGGCTCAACCTCTTGAACAGGTGCAGACAGAACGTAGTTTGGTTGTGAGTCACAAACTCCTTGTGAAGCCATTACAGGTACAACCTCAACAGTTGGAGCATGATCACCAGCAACTTGAGGTGGAGCTGGAATTTGGAAAGTGAGATCATTTACATTGGGTTGAGGTTGTTTTGTTTCAAAAGCTGCACAAAGATCTGCTGCAAGCATTTCAAACTCTTGGTCCACATCACATTGTGTTTCTGGCTGTTTTTCAGCTGGAGGTTCATCGTTCATCTTGAGGTTGTTGTTGTTGTTAAGTAGAAGCTTCATTTTCAGCATGAGTTATTTGTTCTGCTACAGATCCAGGTTGTATTGTTTGTGTAGCATTTTTCTTTGGTTTTTTCTGCACAAATAGTGATTCAATCAATATCACTTACAAACAATTAGTAAGAATACATAATTGAGTTAAGTTAATACCTTTCTTTTCCGAGCTTCAGAGTCAGGCACTAAAACTGAACAACTCCTTGCATTGTGGCCATGTACACCACAATTGGTACAACAATAAGATATCTGTGTCCTTACCTTGTTAGGGTCCTCATCAGGTTCCATCCTCCTTAATTTCTATGGCCTACCAGGGCCTCTTTTGTATGATGGAGGAAACATCTCCTCAGTATTAACCTCAGGCCACATGTCTTGGCCATTAATTGGACTAACATTAAAATTATAGCATGCCACATATGTTTCTTTAGAATAACAGTCATCTACATAGTCTTCTAGGTGTTAGTTCCTAAAGCATAAGGCAGTAACTACATGTCTACATGGTATGCCTACCAAGTTCCAAAAGTTACAGGTACAAGTTCTTTTAGAAGTGTCAACTATAAAGCTATATTTGCTATGGATATGTTCAACTTGCCAAATAGTATCACCAGACCAGTTTGAAATTCAATTACTAGCATTTTCTACCTCTTTACCTAACCTAATTCTAGGTCTTGGCATTATCTTATATTCCCACCTATCAACTTTTTCTCTTAATTTAGAATTTCTATTCATAAGGTAGTTTCTTATCCATTCACACATGGTTAAGATTGGTTTATCCCTAACCACTAGTATTGTGCTATTAAAAGCTTCAGATATATTATTCATTAGCACATCACATTTAGGATAGAATGAGAAAACATGCTTACACCATGAATTTGTAGGTATTTTGATCAACCACTCCTAAGCCTTAGGGTTAAACACCTTCAACTCTTTCATCTTTGCTTCCCATGCTTCTATATATGTGGCCTTTTGTTGCAGCCATCATCAAATCTCTGATCCGTGTGCCACCACTAAACTTCTTTTTGAAATTGGCATATAAATGCCTAAGATAAAGTCTATGCTCCATCCTCTCAAACATCTCCTCAGATACAAGAATTAAGCCCTTGAAATCAAAACAAACAATAAAATAAAGGACCTATTTCAAGCAAAAAAAAAAAATACATAGATGAAATCCACACAAACATTTCATTTTCAGGGACCTAGTTCAAAAAAAATTGACATATTCAGGGACCAAATCAAAACACAATTACATAACTTACGGATGAATTTAAAAAAATATGTAGATCTGAAAAGTACCTTTTGCTGGTCTGATATGAATACTCATCTTTTGTCTTGTCCAATATCTTCCAAAAGCAAGGCCATGAACCACCTATATGAATCCTTTGTCTCAGTCTCACATACACCAAAAGCCAATGGGTAATATTGGTCGTTAGGGTCCCTTCCAACATCAACAATCAAGGTGCCTCCATATTTTATCTTGCGGTGACATCCATCAACACCAATGAGTGGTCTGCAAGCAGTAGTGAATCCCTTCTTTACTCCACCAAAGCAAAAATAAAAGCAGTCAAATCTGGGTTGAATTATGGGACCAACTCTGGTGACATTAATTTTGCAGGTGTTCCCTGCATTGACCCTCTTTAATTCTGCAGAATGCCTCCACAATAGTGTATATTACTTTGATGCATCACCTTCAACCAAAGCTTTTGAAATTTTCTTAGCCTTCCATGCTCTGTTCATAGTTATACCTACAGAGTAAGTATTCCTAATCTCAAAGACAATATCACGGAGCTTGATTCCATCAGATGAAGCCATCCTAGCCGCCACATTCTTCACAATCCACTTGGAGTTAGTAATGGTGTTATACAAAACCCTACCACACGTGTGAGCACCAAACCATTTCTTCATTCTATACATGTGCTTATTTCCCACTTTACTAACAAGAGCCAAAAACCCACAATTGCCCTTGCAAACTACTCTCACTCTAACCTTGTCATTTTTCACATACTTTATCTCTCTTCCATTTAATACTGACCACTCAGTTATTGCCTCTTTAAATTCATGCAGAGATACAAACTCTAAACCAACTTTAAACTTGTAGTCCTTGTCGAACTCCTTCATCTTAAACCTAGGATATTTTGGTCCTTTCTCTTCATTTTATGGATCAGGATCACTACTGCCTAGATTATCACTTAAATAATTAGTTTCAAGCCCTTCATTACCAACACTAACTCCACTTAATGAACCCCTAGTGGCATCAACATTTCTTATCTTTGTTGGAGTAGTTTTGTGTTTTGTTGCTATCTGCTTAACCCTTCTAAGTGGTTTGTCTACAAAATCAAATCCATCATCCATGCCAAGGGCCCTTAAATCCTCATTGTCCTCAAATGATAAACCATTATAATCATTATTGTTTTGGACTGGGCCAGAGGCTGGCCCACCATCGGGCACGACCCAACCCAACTCCTCATCAGGGAGGGCCTAGTAAGGCCCAATCCACAATCACACGGGGAACGCTCACACGTCTTCCCCACAGTCTCCACATGCTCCCCACGCGGGGATACGTCATCAGAAAACTATCCGCATTCGAATAGTGATCCAACTCAATGTAAAATAATTATTGACCGAGCGCTGGGGGCACATTATAAATTCCCT